GATAGATAGATAGATAGATAGATAGATAGATAGATAGATAGATAGATAGATAAACAAACAAACCTGGAGAGGATATGGTAAGTCTATGTGTCAGAGAGAGCCTGTGGGAGAGGAGGAGGAAGAGGCAGTAGTTTAGGGTGTATGGTATCAAGATCCATTGTACACACCTATTAAAGTGTCAATGAATAAATAAAAACTAAGACTAAGTTTTTTGAGAACTAGGAGTTAATATTTTAACAAATGAATTTCAAGGGAGACACAGTCTATAATAATTTATGTTGATACGCATAATAATAGCATTTGGGTATAAATTGTAAGGACCCAAGAAGAAGAGGGGTGTCGATCGGTAGGGAGAGTGCTTGCAGGAGGCCATAGGCTAGATCCCCAACACTATGTAAACAGTAGCCTCAGTGTGATGGCTACAGATGAGTTTTAGGCCTTCCTGGACCACATGAAAACCTACCTAAAAAAAACAAAGACAAAAAAACCTACCTGCTGACAACTGGACAACCTCGTGCCTCTTTGATATGACTGATAACCAACACTCACAGGGTAGAAGAGTAGAGAGCCTGCCCTTCACCTGAGAACTTCAGTTCCCCTCAATCATCAAACATCCAGAATTCTCTGCAAACACCATCAGCCCCTCACCCATGTCACTGCTGTGCCAAGTCGGCACCGGCCACACAGGCATAAGAAAGGTCACCTGCCCATTTTGCAAATGGAAAAAAAATAGACTGAAAGTGATTAAGCAGCCTAATACTGTTAAACAAATAGATGATGCATCAAAAAGACAGAGAAAAAAAAAAAAACCTATGCCCTCAAACCAGCTCATTTTCTCTCTGTATCACTTCCTTTTGATTTCTTTGTGTTTTATTTCCCTAAGGGATTTATAGAAATTTCTATCATTGGCAATCTGTTCTTAGTTATGTGAGTCTATTTTCTCTTGAACCAGCATTTTCTTTCTCTGATTTAAAAGAGGAAAATAAGGACCCAGATTTACTAAAAAAAATTCTGCAGCGATCCTGCCCTTCTGTAAGAACAGAAGCAAGAATTGACTCACTTTCCTGAACACTGTGTCAGGAAACACTGTATAATGCTGTGATCTAAGGGCCTAGCCCCACCTCTGAAAGCTATGTGTACATCCTTAGGACCAGACTACCCAGACCTCATGTGACTCCAAGTCAGAAAATTCTGAGTGAGTGTGGCCTTGGAATTATCTGGGACACCCTCCTGCTCATAATACAGAGCATCAATAAGACCTGAAGCCCAAAAAGGACACCTGACCTCTACCAATGTCACAGAACAAGGATATAATAAGCCAAGCCATTACACTCCTACACGCCTGCTGAGTCATCCTTGGGGCTGTTTCAAGCATGCCAGGTGCACCTTCTTCTTACTGCCTTGCCTTGACAGCCCAGAAAGCAGATATCAGTGATGGAGTGATGGACAGTGGACATGGTGTCTGCTTACCCTACAAGGGAAAGGGGCCTCCTGTTACACTAAGTACCTGCATCAGTTGGCGTGTAGGGAAAACGCTGGAATCTGAATCTGTTTGTCTCCCTTACTAGAAAGGAAAAGGTTACTGAGGTCCATCATATCCTAGGTTCTGGGAACAAGATGGTATTTAGTTTCAAGAAACACTAAATAATCACAAGAAGTTATTAAGTACAAACTTGTACCATCGGGACCAGACATGTGAATTAAGAGTTAAAAGCACTTGCTTCTCTTGGAGAGGACCAGCGTTTGGGTCCCATCCCCCACACTGTGGCTCAGAACCATCTGTAATACTGTAATACAGCTCCAAGGAATCTGACACCCTCTCCTGGTGTCTGAGAGCAACAGGCCCACACATGGTGCACAAACATACACGCAGCCTAAACATTCATACACACACAAAAAAAAAATAAACCTAAAAAAGGTTTTTGAAATAATTTGTAATATACAGAGATGAATGAACTGCTGTAGGAATGTGGTAACTAAGGCCCACCCTGGGCTAGCCTGGGGCTAGCTGAGAGAGGAAGACTCCACAGAGGCATTGACATCTAACAACAAATACAAGGGAAATAGGGTCCCACAGAGGGCAGAGCCCCAGGGAGGTCAAGCAAGCAGAGGCACTTGGTGTGCTAAGGTAACAGAGATGTGTCACAGACCGAAGGCAGAGGGGGCGGTGTGGGGCAACTGGAAGGGCAGTGGAAGAGGTCCGCTGGGATCTGCATGGGCCACTCAGGATCCATTTAAAGTGTTTTAACCAAGACAGACATGGCCCCATTTATTTTAAAGGGATCATTGCAGAGAAGAAACAGCATCATGTGACAGGCCAGTTGGTACATAAGCACAGTCACATGACTATTCAAGCTAGACCAATTGGCTGCATTCTAACCTACCATGCAGGTTTGGCTTGCATTTTTCTTTGTTTTCTTTTGTTTTGCTTTGCCTTGATAGCTCTCTCTCTCTCCCTCTCTCTCTCTCTCTCATATCTCCTTTGTAGCCTAGGCTAGCTTTCAATTCAAAATCCTCCCAGTGCAGATTCCCGAGCGCTCGGATCACTTGTATGTGCAAAACCAGTACTAGATTCAAATATCTTTGTCTTTTTTAAATGAAAAAGAACCCGTTTTGTCAACACTGCTCTTATTAAAAAACAATTGCTAAAAACAAAATGAAAGCAGCACTCACTTTTGAATGATTTTTTTTTTTTTCTTGTTGGAGAAGGCTTGTTTTTGTTGAAGCATGATTGTCATTTCAAATTGTTTTTGAGCCAGTTGGGAACATTGTAATTGTAGAGAAGTTAACAATGACACGTTATAAGTACAAATGGCAGAGAGACATCACCAACAAAACTACCAAAGGAATGGTAATGTCAGCCATTGCGCTTATGTTGATTGTTTAATGACTTTTCTGTTTTGTTGCTGTTGTTTTCCTTTTCGCTTTTACTCACTAGTTGCCTAGAAATTGGATAGAGTAAAATATAGGGAATACATAAAATAGTGGCTTGGCTTGAGATTATTTTGAGGACTCTTTTCAAGGATAAGACATCAGAAATGACGCTTTTAGAGACATTTACCTGATGTAACTTCGAAAAGATTCTCAAAAAGAGTTGCTTTGCATAAATAAGTTATCTGTTTTCTTAAGGGACCCAGTCGAAGTTTATGTCACCTGGAGTGATGTGTCTTTAGCATAACACGCAGACTAGTGTGGCCATTTATTACTCTCACTTTGACAATCTGAATTATCTTTTGGATATAGCCCTGAATGATAAATCAGATGGTTTAAGAGCAGGACTCAAAATTGGAAAATTGAAGTTCTAAGTGCTTTTATCTTAAGTAGATGGTACCTTGAATAGTAAGTGCCCCAGCACTGAGCTAAGTTAATGACAATGGGCTCTGCAGTGAGTGATGTTGGACTAATACAATGCGCAGGTTCTGGAGGCAAGGCTAAGTATGAATTGTATCTTCTGTCTTTCATGAGAATCCAATTCAGCATATATGGAAATTTTTATCCTACAGTTCTTCAGGCAAACATCATAAAATATATCTAGCCAGCTACCACTGGATAATTGCAGATTTTCCTTGAGAAGGACTAATAGTTTTTCTTTTCTAGAGAATTATTATTCAGTGCTGTTTTTAACAAATGTTCAATTTTACCAATAATGACTCAGGAACCAAATGCTGAGGTGAAAGCCTGCTAGCTCAGAGAGGCCGAGAAAGCATGCAGCTGACCTCCCTCCTCAGCCTACATCCTGGAAGGAAAAAATCTCCTTTCTCCTTCTCCACCCTGTCTTAAAAACCCCTCAACACAATGTCCCTCCTTACTACTTCCTGGGCATCTATCTCTCTTTGCATCCTCTAAACCCCTATCACTCTCTATGTTTTTTTTTCCTATGCTCACTCCATGTCAACTGGCAGTTTGCATAGCCTCTTGACCTACAGTTAACTTTATTTAGCTCTTGTTTACAGGAAGAACTTGGGTTAAAGATGTGTGATAAGGCTGAGCCACACCACAACAAGAAACAGGTTTTTCCAGTTCACAATCTCATAGTTCACAATGTGATCAAATATTCTGCAACAATTCTGTGTCATTATTTTACCTTATTCCTTGGTTGTGTGTGTATGATTTTTTTGTTTTGTTTTGGTTTGTTTTTTTTTTTACTTTTTTTTAAGAAAATATACTTAACTTTCAAATTTCTTTTTTGATTTCAAGGAGCAATGGCTCCAACCAAGACAATGTGGAACGTCCCATTTTCTCCTGTATTGGTCAGGGTCCTATTACAGAAATACTAAACTCACCATCTTTGAGGGGGCAGATTCAATTTCTCTCTTGGATTTTATAAAAGAGCTAAAGAAAAGTATCATAGTTACAGGTCCACCATGCATTGTTTTGAAATCTCTGGATTCATTCACCACGAGAAACAACATGGAAGTAATATGCCCCTCTCTTCCCACTGTGTTAGTTGAGTAAAAAAGCCAATTCATGCCTGTAGTGTAAAGCAAGGGAGCCAGAAAGAAAAACCTCTGTTTTTTGTTTTGTTTTGTTTTGTTTTGTTTATTGTTTTTTTTTTTTTTATGTTCCAGCTTATTGGCTTTAACAGGACCTGTGGTTGTGACTAAATTTTAAATTCTTCATTTTTACATGTTTCCAAGGCTCTGTGTCAGTTATTTTTATCATTGTTGTACCAAATACCTTTGGTACAACAAAAAGCACTTTATGGGAGAACAGTTCTATATTGGCATATTATTTAGGAAGGGATGAAATTCACCGTAAGGGGAAAGGCGTGGATGCAGGAGCAGGAGGCAGCTGGTCACATTGGATCTATCACCAGGAAGCAGAGAGCAGATGGGCAACCAAACGTCAATGTTCTCCTAAGTATCCCACTTCCGTTACATCTTAAATGTTCCACAACCTTGGAAAATAGCACCCCTAGCTTCGGCCAGTGTTCAAATACATTTCACATTCAAACTAGAGCACCCAAAAAAAAAAAAAACTTCTGTTTATTTTTTTTCTAGGTTGGACGAATTGAAGACTTTCTGTACCAACTAGAAGACAATTTCCTGAAAACTAAAAAACTGAGAACTGCTCGAAGGCAGAAAACAAAAATGAAGAGGCTTCAAACTGTACAGCAAAACTAGGTGTGAGGGAGAAGGCTGACCAAAGAAAGTGTCTAGAGAAGCTGGGCACCTGGGTAACAAAGACCATCACCAAAGGATTGGGATGGCACCTCTTTGGCAAAGATAGTCTATATGGCATTACTTTCCATTGGTAGCAATAAATGTTCTCAATATGTTTGACTTGACCCACGCTCAAATTCTTCTTGTTTGAAGAGTTCATGTAGGCTCCTGTCCTGTTTCCTATTTTCTTACTCTTCTGATGTCCATCCTGGTTGTCTTTCTGAGTGAGGATCGATTATCTTACCCAGGGTCCTCCTTCTTGCTTAGCTTCTTTAGCATACAGTTTGTGGTATGTTTATCCTATATTATATGTCTAATATCCACTTATAAGTAAGTATATACCATGTGTGTCTTTCTGCTTCTGGGATACTTCACTCAGGATGATCTTGTCTAGATCCCACCATTTGCCTGCAAATTTCAGGAGCCTACCATGAAGGGCCTCTGAAAGACTCTACCCAGCAGTGTATCAAAGTAAATGCTGAGGCTCATAGCCAAACTTTGGGCAGAGTGTAGAGAATCTTAGGAAACAAGGGGGAGATAGAAAGACCTGGAGGGAACAGGATCTCCACAAGGAGAGCAACAAAACCAAACAATCTGGGTATAGAGGTCTTTTCTGAGACTGATACTCCAACCAAGGACCATGCATGGAGATAACCTTGAGCCCCTGCACAGATGTAGCCCATGGCAGCTCAGTACACCAGTGGGTTCCCTGGTAATGGGAACAGGGACTGTCTCTGACATGAACTCAGTGCATGGCTCTTGATCACCTCCCCCTGAGTGAGGAGCAGCCTTACCAGGCCACAGAGGAAGACAATGCAGCCAATCCTGATGAGACCTGATAGGCTAGGTCATATGGAAGGGGAGGAAGACCTCCCCTACCAATGGACTGAGGGAGGAACATAGGAAGAAAAGAGGGAGAAATGGAGGGATTGAGAGGGAATGAGGAAGGGAACTACAGCTGGGATACAAAGTGAATAAACTGTAATCAATATAAAAAATTAAATTAAAATAAAAAAGAGTTCATGTAATAGCCACTACTGCCTCTTTTACCTGCCTTCTTCATCCAGACTTGACTAAGGTCTGCTAGGTCTACTCAAGGATGCCTATATTCATGTGTGCTCCTTAGAAAATGGTCACAGGTCGCATGCAGACAAGTGTCCATTTCAAATAACAAAGATGATAGTAGACATTCTCAAGCCTCAAAAATATGGCCATCTGTTACTTGTCTGAGACTATCAGTTCTGTCACTGAGAGTTCCATTCCTTCCTCTGGATTTTTAATATTGCATTTTACCTGCTCTTTAGGCAACACATAGATTCACATATTTGACATGAGGGTAAATCTGGGACCATCACGAGAATCACAAGAATATTAAAAGAAAGAGTACCGCAACTTTCTTGATTCTGTGAGATGATGACAGAGCAGATTGAATAAAACCTTGCTCTGAAGCTATGGGAGGGTTATGTAGTCACAACAATTCAAGACATAAATATTGAAATGAGACAGTTGGGACTTAGATTCTCTGGAGACTTTTATCAACTCCTGCTTTTATCAAATAGTTCACTTTTCCCCACTTCACAGGGAACATACCTCCATTGCCTACTTCCTCTCACTTAGTTATTAATTAATAACAAGCAATTAAAGACGATGGAACTTAAGATGCTCCTTTTTGCTGCTAAGCTCATACAAAAACATTTCATTTCCTATAAACACTGGAAAACTACTTATTTTATGACCATGAGACTGGCTGGATGGGGGAGGCCCAGGTTGACTTGGCCTCCACCTCACTGATGTTAATATCCCTGATCACTATAAGAGAAGTATCAGCTCAGGACACCCTAAAACCAAGCTCTCAGCCCAAAGGAGATATTTTTGTCCCAGAAGGATAATAATCAGGGAATAAGAAACAAAGACAGGAGATAGAGGATGATGGAGAAAAACAAGAGAACAAAGGAGAGGGGAGGAAGGGGGCAAGGGAGAGAGGTAAGGGGTAGTTGTCCTAGAATGGGACAAAGAACTGCCTTTGAATAGAGAGGAGAAAAAGGTTGGCACATAGGAAAATGGTGGTTTATAAAGATACAAGGAGAAACCCTGTATTAGGATGAGGTGCTTAATTTTAAATGGGCTTATTAACTAGGTGAACCAAAGGGGGCTTTGGATTGCTAGACTTCTATACTTTGATAGCTGGACCTTGACAGTTGACCTCAGGAGGGGGAAGTGGCCAAACACAGGAATAAAACTTGGTGGGTAGTTTTAGGAATATAATCTATTGAGTTTTTGTTTTTGTTTTTGTTTAAGATAGAGGAAATGGGAGAGAACAGCAAGGCCTACCAGAGCCATGTCTGCCATGCTTAAGCTGGCTAGAGTCCCTTGTCCAGGAACTATACATTACGGTAGAAAAGACTGAAGAAATATCCCAATGGGCAAGCAGAGGGACCTGAATTTGAATCCACTGAATTCATGTAAAATGTTGGGTGTGTGGTCAGAAGAGAGGAGGTAAAGGCGGAAGGGGAAGTGATTTAGGAAGACACTGTCAATCTCTGGCCTCCAAAGCAGTCACAGTGCACACTCACATGCGCACACCCATGAACAAACACATACACTCTCATATAAATATTGGAAGACAAAGTTCAATGGTAAGAAATGTGTTCCTCTCTGGCATTTCCTTGAAAGTGAATATAAGGGATTTTATTCAGTAATATTTCCAAGACACTAAATGTAAACCTAGAAATGACTTCTTGGCTAAACAGAAGATTAATATACTATTTTCTCTTTTCAGACCTTTTTAAATAATATTAGTGCATATATAGTCCATGCCCCTCTCACCATGTCCCTCTCTCTACCTTTTGCTAAGAACAGAGTTCTGTTGACCTCTAGAGCCAGGAGTAACTTCTTTTGCAAAATATCTGCACCAGCTAGTTTTATATCAACTTGACCCAAACTGTGGTCATCTGAGAAGAGAGAACCTCAACTGAGAAAATGCCTCTATAAGATTGGGCTGTAGGCAAGACTAATGAGCATTTTCTCAATTAGTCATTATGGGGGAGGGCCCAGCCCATTGCAGGCGGGGCCATCCCTGGCCTCCTGGTCCTGTGTTCGACAAGAAAGCAAAGTGAGCAAGCTATGAAGAGCAAGCCAGTAAGCAACACTCCATGGTCTCTGCATCATCTCCTGCCTCCAGGTTCCAGCCCTGTTTGAGTTCCTGTCCTGACTTCCTTCAGTGACAGACTGAGGTGGAAATGTAAGCCAACTAAATCCTGGTCATAGTATTTCATCACAGCATCATAGCAATAGTAACCCTAGCTAAGACAATATCTAAACAAATTATTGCCAAACTGACTACACTAGGGAGTTACTTCCATAGGATCTCCCCAAAGGAGGAATCCCAGGGAGGCCCTGAGACTCCAACTAATCATATCCCCTAGTCCACATATATCTGAATTTCACACTCCTGATCATATTTTCATAATTTCTTGATTATTTCTCAAGGAATTTTGGTGCTGTGTTTGTTTTCTTTGTTTGTTGTTTTACGTGAATGAGTCCTTGAATATATGTATGTGTCTGATGTCATAGAGGCCACAAGAAGATGTTGAATCTCCTGGAGCTGGAGTTATAGATGTGATCTACCATGTTGGTACTAGAAATCAAATCCAGGTTGTCTGGAAGAATAGCCAGGGCTCTTAACCCTAAGCCATGTCTCCACACTCTTCTTTGGCTGTTTATTTTCAAAATTTTAAATCTGTACAAAAGTGACAAGAGTAGACAATATAACAGAGATGTACACATCTTCCCCAACTGTTAACATTTTGTCACATTCCCTCTCTCCTCTCCCTCAAATGCCCATCGTGATCCTTTCACATCGTGGTCCATCCATTGCCCTTGTTGCAATCTAACCTTGCTTTCTTTGTTGGATAAGCCCAGAGGCCACAGTGGCTTCCTTAGGAACTGCTGGAAGAGGGGGCTCTGGACAGCCCAGACTACCACACCCATCTCCTTCTTGTTTTGCTGTTGCTGGCTTTCCTTCAGCACTGCTGATGATGGGAGCATCATCTGTGGGACCTGCTTGGGATCTCTGAAGAGGGAAATGCAAGTAGCAAAGCTGTCTGCTACTTTTCTGGTTTGGTTTGGTTTGGTAACAACCTTTGAAGCTTACAGACATGATACAATTGGAACTGTTAATTCTTGCTTTTGTACGTCTTCAAGAATGACATACTTTCCCTTTGAGGGCAGGTGATACAATTTTTAAAATTCCAAAGCTTTTCTAATTTGTTTTCCTTTCCTGTAACAAAACACTCTAACCAATGTAAGGAGACAAGGGTTTATTTGGCTTACTGGGACAGGTCACAGTCCAAGGCAGAAGCTTGAAGCAGAAACCTGAAAGGAACTCTGCATACACACTTGCTTTCTCTGACATGCTCAACTTCCTTTCACATACAGCCAGACTTATGGATGGCACCACCTTCAGTAGGCTGAGCTTCCTACATTAATCAGCAGTTGAGAAAATCTGATGGAGGCAATTCTTCAGTTGAGGTTCCCTCTTCCCAGGTGGCTAGAGGTTGGTGTCAAGTTGACAGCTGAAAACTGTGACTAAAGGTTACTCAGAACTTCAGGCAGTAGGATAGATGTCAACTGAGCAAGATAGCACTGTGTCTGGGTCATGCAATCAGCAAGGAAGGGGCACACAGAAACACAGAGCAATCCCAGGTTTGTGTGAAGGCTATTTGTACCTCCCTAGCTGTAAGTTGGTATGCTTGCTTTAAACAGGCTGTCTTGGCAGGCACGCTTCTAGCATGAACATGCTTCTAGCAGAACTGAATTCTAGAAACTTAGACTAAAGAACTTACCAAATCCACATTGAAATATAAAACCTCAAAAGTTTTGGGGGCTTTGTGAAAGGTAATGTAAACACAGCCAAATTTTTCCAGCATGAGTAATAGATTTATAAAAATAAGTAAATGATT